GATTTTTTTTTATGGATTTTTTATTCATTAAAAAAATCAATATCTTTCACTTGAAACTAACAAAAATAAAAAATTTTATAAATTTCATTTAGTTTATTAAAGAGTTAAACTTCATGAAAAATAAAACACACGTATAATATATATATATAATTTTGTTTAGTATGATAGGTATTAAAGTAATTTATATATACATATAAATATACGCCTATCATACTAAACAAAATTATTGATTTCTCAATATTATATTTATACAGACTAATGTACATATATATTTTCACAATATAATGGCAGAAATAAAAATTTAGTCTGTATAAAATTACAAATTTTACACTGACTAATACACACATGTAAAAAATATATATATATATAAAATATATATATATGTATATATAAATTGTTTTAATACCTATCATACTAAACAAAATTATTGATTCTTCAATTTTAAATTTATAATTTTTTATAGACTAATGTACATATATTTTTTCACAATATAATGGCAGAGATAAAAATTTAGTCTGTATAAAATTACAAATTTTACACGGACTAATACATACATGTAAAATATATATATATGTATATATATATATATTATTTTAATGCCTATCATACTAAACAAAATCATTGATTTCTTAATATTAAATTTATAATTTTATACAGACTAATGTATATATATTTTCACAATATAATGGCAGGAATAAAAATTTAGTCTGTATAAAATTACAAATTGAATATTGAGAAATCAGTAATTTTGTTTGGTCTAATAAAAAGTCAATCTATATCTATCAATACGATTGTAAAATTGCACTATGTGTATTATTAATTCAACATAATAATTGATGAAAATGTAACATTTACTCAAGATTTCCATCGAATTATTGATAATTATTGATTAACAACTACAATTTTTTTTATAGGAATTTCAATGAATTTTCGAGAGATCTAGATTAATTACAATCATTCGATAATTATCGCTTCGTTTAGTTCAAAAGTATGTATCAAATTTGAAAACGTAAATTTAAACGTAAATTTCAGCTGAAATAAAATGTCAAAATGTTAAATATCTTTACAATCGAACAACGTAGTAAAACAACATTGGAATTCGTTGCACGTGCCTAGCATCGGTATAACAATTGACACTCATCCCCACTCTTTCGTTCCTTCAATTCACAGAATACACTGCTCATCTTAAACATCCACTTTCTCGACTATGGACGCTTAAACCACAGTCTTACAGTTGGAGAGACAACCATGTCCAAAGATACGTCAGCTATTCGAGAGCTACGTGTCGAGTCATCAGACTAGCCCCTCTACAATCGACAATAGCAGAGAGTGCCAACAAACAGCGTTCGATCGTAGCAAAAAAGTAGCAAATTTCATCCACTGATGAACAATGATGGCGAACCCATGACCCGCGGGTCAGACACTGAACCCGCGCAGGCTTTTGAAAATGACCCACGCGTTGATTTTTATAAACTTATCATCATATATATAAAAGAATTTTAATTATTTTTCAAACCCCTCTTTTCAAAAAATGTTAAGAAAATTACAAGTGTTCGGTTAGAGGTTAAAAGTGAGAAATAAATGCATAATTGTGTTTTATGGAGGATTTACGACTGGGTATATATGTATACATATATAGGTACTTCAAGTCTTCAATGTTATACGAGTTACTTGTGTCCAAAAAATTTTATATAGCGCTTACGATCAAACAGGTGTAATAAACACTAAAAAACACACTAGATCACATTCTCAGAATGGATAGCTTTGCTAGTTTTTTATATAATAAAAGAGAGAACAGACAATAAAAAATATTAAGAATTAAAGTATATATATATATATATAAAATGTATAGGGGTGACGTCGACATTTATTTTTTGCTCATCACTAGCAAAAATAAGACAAAAAGGGAACGTAAAATTTTTAGAGGATCATAAAAGTGAGAACCTCAAAGAAAAGTGACGCCACTTGACTCAGTGAGCCACGAGCTAGTACTAAAAAAAATATAATGAACAAAATTTTCACCTAATTCTCAAAGAGGGGAGGGGGGGGGGGGGTTCACTGCACCAGAACGTCGCGAGAGAAATTGTAAAACATGAAATGAGAATCGAAAGAATTCCGACCGATCGGTGCCGCATGCGCGGAGAGAGAGAGAGAATAGACCTGCAACCTGTTGGATGCACGTTCGTGATCCCGAGTTCCTTTATTAGGAAGCGCGACGTCTCCCTTAGGAGCAAGGTTTTCTTGTTTCTTCGCGGGGCGAGGCCTCTCGCGTCATCTTCTCTCTCAGCGGGGACAATCGAGGCAGAGGAACGCATTAAAAAGCGCGCCATCGCCATTTACGGCTGTCATCCCGCGTATCTGGATAACCGAGTCGAGTGAGTGCTCTCGCGACACACAGTGAGAGTTGTCCCGAGCTGCGATTTCCTCCTGCATGCACCGGGGACAACCTGCGACAACCCTGCCTTCGCTTTCACGAAGCTCCGCGTGAACCTCGTCACGGGAAGCTCGTCGAACCTTTTATCGCGTCGCCTCTTATTTTCGACTCTCGCGTATCTCGTTTCAAAGATTCGTCGTTAATGGATTCTGATAAGCGTTGCTCTCTGAGTGAAACGAGAGTTCCCAATAAGTTACTCACCATCGTTGGGGGGTCGATGTTCGATTTGTTTCGTTACTTTAGGATTGACCATTCACCTCGTCGCTTTCACCTACCGAAACCTTTTCTACTTAGTTACTTCGAGAACCCTTCGTAGCGTGTTTCTGTTGAGCTGGAAATCGTGGAAAAGAGGAAAAATGGGGTGGAAAGAATTGGAAACACTCGCAAAACAATGTGACAATGTTCGATTTGAATTGATGTTATTTTGTGTGAGAGATTTATACAAAATAACATATTTGTTCTTTAGATCGGTAAAAAAATAATTGTTGTCTCTTTTTTTTTTAATGATTTTATTTTCTAAATTATCTATATCTTTTGTAGTTTGAGTTCTTTCGTGTTTAAGAGTTTATTTTTTCTAAATCACTAAAAAAATAATTGTTTTTATTATAACTATCCTTGTTTGAGTTTCTGTCTATCTTTTAAGTCTTTGCGAAAGTAATTCCTTTCGTACGAGTTCTCTTTCGCAAATTGTTGGAAAGTTTTAGAAAACTTGTATCTTTGCTTCCCGAACTTGTGATTGCAAGCCCTTTCTTACATAGTACGTAAAATTATTTTAAAATTGAGTATTTCTCAATATTTTAAATTTTAAAATTAAATTACAATTAATTTAATTATAAAATCTCAAAGTTAAATTATAACTATCGTCTAAGTCTTTGCGAAAGTAATTCCTTTCGTACGAGTTCTCTTTCGCAAATTGTTGGAAAGTTTTAGAAAACTTGTATCTTTGCTTCCCGAACTTGTGATTGCAAGCCCTTTCTTACATAGTACGTAAAATTATTTTAAAATTGAGTATTTTTTAATATTCTAAATTTTAAAATTAAATTACAATTAATTTAATTATAAAATCCTAGAGTTAAATTATAAAATTCAAAATGAAATCCTAAAATATCCTACATTTTAAAATTAAATATTTTTTACATAGTACATTAAAATTATTTACAATTACCTCTCACGGACACGTTATAAAATATCAAATGAAAAACACAGTTGTTGGAACGATATTTCGCAAATATTCTCAGAATCAAAAGTCACGATAGATGATCCGAAATAGCCCGCTGAAAATAACAACAAAGTTGATAAGAACCAAGAACAAATAAATGAGAGGCAACTAAAGGAAGAAAGAAAGAAAGAAAGAAAGAAAGAAAGAAAAAAGGAGAGGGTTGTTGTGAGTGAGAGCACGTCCCGTCGATCACCCACAACGCACGTTTTCACAGTTTTCCCGAGTTCTCTGTTTCTCTGTCGCGGCCGTGCACCAGCACACCCCATCGTCGCTCGCGTGTAACTCGAACGAACACACACAGGCAATCTAGTTGTTACCTACGCGTGGGCAAGCCAGGGTATTGTCGGGTGAGTCATCTCTCTCTCTAGCGGTGCTGGCTCGTGTACACCTCTCACCACCCCCGTGTGTGTGCAGCGTGTGCAGCGTGTACGGCCGCGGTTTGTTTTCTGGGTAAAAGCCGGAGCCGCCGTGGCTCTTAAGAACAATGGAAACAAAAGAGGCAGGCCGGCACGCGTGCTGGCACAAGGTAGCCATGGTCACGGCGGTCACGTTTCGCAGAATGTCGTGTCGTATATGTACACCGTGCTTGCTGGCCGCGCGTCCTTTATGTACACCTACACCCATGGCCCCCTGTGTGCCTTCCTCGACGTTGCTCTATCCCTCGAAACTATGTGTGCACCACTCACCTCGATACGTCGTCCACCGTCTCCTGGATTCTTCCCGACTTTGGCTCGTCTCAACCCCGCCAACAGACCTTTCCTCTCTCTCTCTCTTTCTTCTATGAACTTTCCATTCGATGCTTTTGCAATTAAAATCTACTAAAGTCGCCGAAAAGTTCCGCGGCCTCGTTCGAGTAAGGAGGAGCTCAGCTTCTTAGTTGTTGAACTAACATTGTGGTATTGGTACTTTAATGTCGAGTCGATCGAACGCTGCATTGCGACATCGATCGCGCGAATAGCGACTCGTTCGAACTCGGCAAGTTTGTTACGCTTCCTTGATGTTACCGCGAATGAAAGTAGGATAAAACTTCCCATCTATACCCACATTGGTTTACGTTTAATTAAAAAGGAAACTAATTCGTGTTTGACACGAAATCTGAAGAGCGATGATGCATGGCGCTAAAACTAAATAAGAATGGACACGTTACGCAACGCTATGCCAGTATTAGTCAAGTGTGTGTGTGTGTGTGTGTGTGTGTGTATCCTTGGGGATCGGTCGAAAGGAGATATGTTGGAAGAAAAAGGAAAAAGGAAATTTTCGATCGATTCGCCCGGTGCACACACAGCATCGAGTGTGTACATCGTTTCATAGCGTGATCGATGACGAGGTTTTACGTGTGTTGCGCAGGTCGAGAACGTGAGCCTGTGCGTAGGAGCGCTCCGAGCTCTTGGGGCGGACGTCGGCTCCGTGAATCCTAGCGAGTTGGCCGCGGGATCAACCCTCTGGCCGATCCTCGCCCTTCTTTTCGCCCTCTCGCGATACAAGCAGAGAGCCAAGCAGCTTCAAGACATGCCAAGGTAAGTTCAAATCCCTTCTTACCGACGATCGCCAATGTAGGCTGCCAACGTATCTACAGTGGATACGCCAGGTTTTCTTTGCCAACAGTTGATAACTGAATGTACCGATTGAAGATAAATCAGGGATCATTGGAACGCCGTACCAATCGAGTATGAAGAAAGATTATTTGTCAGAAAAGATAATACAAGTAGGAGTAGTATCTTTTTTTTTTAGTCAATTTTTATTATTTCGATTACATTTCAGTTGCGGGGTGTTCTTAGTTTCATTTAAAAAAGTAAACTGTATGTTTTAGGTCAATTTTCTTAGCTGATTCGATTACATCTCAGTTGTAAGGCCTTCTTTGTTTCATTTAAAAAAGTAAACTGTACGTTTTTTAAGTCAATTCTTTTAACTGATTCAATTACATTTCGGTTGTAGGGCCTTCTTAGTTTCATTTAAAAAAGTAAACTGTACGCTTTAGGTCAATTTTTTTTAGCTGATTCGATTACATCTCAGTTGTAGGGCCTTTTCAGTTTCATTTGAAAAAATAAACTGTACGTTTGTACTTCAAGAATTCTTTAACATAGTCGAGCGAGTGCTTCCTTCACTTTTGATCGCTGAAAAGATACCGAAGAACGGATATTTTCATTATCCCACCATCAAACTACCAAAAATTTCTTACACGTTCCTCTTCTTCTTTATTTGATACATTCGTATGTCTGAAATAGGTGTTCGATCAACACAAAAAAAGAAAAAAAAAAAAAAAGAAAAGAGAGAGAAAGGAAAACTGCTTAAATCGAACTATGCTATATACCTCATGTCTACCCAAGATATTCAACAGCGTCCATCGTCGGTCTCGATATTAATCTCAGTCTCGTCGACATCGATCGGCACACATCGCGACGAATAAACGTCCCCGGGGCTGGCTTTCCCTCGATATTCATTACGGAAGAATTTGCACGTACTTGGATCTCCGCGCGTACTTCTATTCCAGGCAGGTTTCGAATCGATACCGACGTCCCGTCAGACGAACGACTCGACGACGTGCTCATTAACGTCCACGTTAATCAAGCTGCACGCGTGCCTCACACTCAGACCGTGAATCTCGTGCGTGCGTGCGTGTTCTACACGCCTAACACGTTGTGTCGTGTCCTGTTCCGCGTACCACGGAAGCTACGAAGCTTCAAATATTTTAATTACTGCCACGCGGTCCGCGGTTAATTGCTCTCGCGGCCAGCCAACCAATTCCCTGTGCCCCAGACTCGCCACCAACTTTGCTTTTCCTTAACCCGTTGGCTTCACCGCGAGTCGCCGCTCGTCTCAAGGTCGTTATTTTTAAACACACCGGGCGACGTTGGACTCGCGTGGTACTCGCCGCGCTTTTCACCGAGCGAGGCGATATTAATCTTCGTTAGACCGCCCCCTCTCCACACCGCTGGAACGAGACTTTCTCCCGGAATTGCCCGGCCATTTCGAAACGATCGTTAGAGAAGTTCATCTCGCCGGGGCCGCAATTTGCACCGGCCTGTTCTCCCCACGTGGTCCACGGGAAATCGATAGACACACGGGGTCTCCGGGAAAATGGAAAACGTACGTTGGTTCGTTTGTTCGTTCGTTTCCTCTTTTCATTCGCGTTCGCGCGGTTTTCGTTGGCGATCGAATTTTAATGGAAACTCGCGGAGCAGGGAAGGAGGAGAAATTCAAGGTCCGCCGTCTAATGGACCGATTCTTGTAACGATTCATCGGTGGAAACGGAGGAACGTGAACCTTTAGGAACCTTTAGGAACGCTCGCGACATTAACATATTAACAATGCTCCATTATGCCCACGACTCGGTTGCCCAGACGGTGGTCCGTGTGCGTTACGCTCGCCGCACAATATAACCGCGCGTACACATGGAAACTCTCCCTTCTCCCTAAGCGACGCAACGCAGCCAACGTGGGTGTATTATGGCTCTGGCCATATGTATATAGCCAGGGTATGTAACGGGTACTCTGAAAATTCTCTTCCATATTTCCTCCTAATCTAATGAATTATCCATACGAACGGGGATATCGCGTCTGTCTCTTGTTGCTACTCGATCTCTGTGGTACACATATACGTGCGTATGCGCTACTTTTCAAACGCGTGAGACCATATGCACGGAGGAAGTACCAATGTGCCCCGTAACTAACGGCGCGTTCGAGTTTTTTTTAAATAATTGCGATGGTTTTGGGTTACGTGTTTCCATATATATTATATAAATTATTATGGTGATGTGATAATAATAATAAAGTAATAAATAATATATAAAAATATATTGTAATATAATAATAAATTATGGTAATAATGTAACAATGGTAAATTATGAAAATATGATGATAATATAATAATAATAAATTATGATGAGATGATAATAATATAATAATAATAAATTATGATAATATTATAATAATCTAATAATAGTAGTAATAATAATAGTAAATTATGATATTATGGTAATAAACTATATATATATATATATATATATATACACATACATGGAAACACATATCATACATATATGTATAGTTTATTATTATAATTATCACAAGTGATACATGTTTCCATATATATAATATTTCTATATATATATATGTATGTATAATAAATTATACTAATACTAAAACTAAACATAAACTATATTTTATTAATTTAAATTTTGTTGATATAAACTATATTTATATTATATTTATAAAGTAATAAACTATATATATATATAGTTTATATCAACAAAATTTAAATTAATAAAATATAAATATAGTTTATATTTAGTTTAGTATTAGTACAGTTTACTGTACATAGTATATTAATATAGTTCCTATATATAGTTTATTACATACGTATAGTATAGTCGCATACAAAAGTAATTTCCAATAATGAGTTATACAATAACAGTACATAGAAACTCGGGAATCTGAAAGGTATTGACAAAGGAGTTTCTTTTCTGGAGTTCGACCATGTGCTTGAATACATAAAATAGTTTTAATCGTTTAAAGACAAGCGTTCTTTCTTGACGTCATTCGATATTCATCTCGCAGCGCTTGCAAGAGGATATTTTTTCAAAACAGTATTCCATTAAACGCAGATCAAACACATTGAGGAATTACAAATTTCTCACTCTCGAATTTTGACATTTTCTGCATTACTGTTGCACAACTATAATCATTAAAAATCCCTACTACGCACTTTTGCCACTTTTACGCGCAAGTGATCTTTATGGAATGTATGAAAACAGATTTTGCTAATGTGGAAACTAGGTAATGGCCAATGTCTTTTTTTTACTTTGAATGAAAGCTCTTAATTAAATTTCTACGTACGGGGTGTCCCGTGATTCTACGTCAAGAAAAGAAAGAATAAAATTTCTTCATTTTCTTCGCTTGATAAAAAAAGCGAAATAAAAACTGATTACAACACTATAAGCCATGCAACTTTTATTTGAAACATTTTTACGTACAACAAATATATTTATTTGTCACGACTCACCCTGCACGCGTATGATAATTAAAGATGTGTATATTCTCGAGCACTAAACGAGTCTCAGTTTCGATCGAAGACAGCAACGAAAGCGTCGTCGAGCGTATTTTTTCGAGCCACCCTGTAACGAGCACCGTTTCTACAATTTGTACACGCGCCCAGCACATCATCTGCTGAACTCGCCGCGAGTACGAGACTCGCACTGGCGTGCAGCGTCGTTATTGTTGCGTCTCGTTGCAACAATGACCCCGCCGCGGCGTGCACGTGCTCGCGGTATGCACGCATTATCGTGAAAATGATTGAAAAAATGTAGAATGGACAAACGGTGGAGGGCGAGCGGATTGGCCGGCTCTCACGGAAGGGGAGCGCCGCGATTGGTCACTCGGATGCAGTGGGGAAATCCACGGAGGCTGTGTGGTACTGATGTTGTGTGTAGGTGACAAAGGGAGAGAGAGAGAGAGAGAGAGAGAGAGAGAGAGAGAAAAGAGAAAGAAAAAAACGAAAAGAGAGAGAACTGAGAAACGCGATTGTTGTCGGGGGCGATGAACGAAGAGGGGTTCATGGGGGTGAAACAGACGATGAGGGAAGAACAGAGAGAGAGAGAGAGAGAGAGAGAGAGAGAGACTTTGAGGGCGAAGGAAGGAGAAACGGATAAATGGGAATATTGCGAAGGAGAGATGAAACGCATAGACCCTGCTAAAGGGAAGGTATATATCGCATCTGCATGGGGATCGAGAAGAGAAGAGAAAGGGAGAGACAGAGAGAGAGAGAGAGTCTGGGGTAACCTGAGAGCAAGAAAGACACAAAACCAGAGCGAGAGAGAAAGAGAGAGAGTAATGGGGATTGTACGAGTAGCAGGATGGTGGGGGCAAGGGCGAGAGAGGGAGAGAGCGAAAGAGAGAAGCCACGTGCTATGGGAACAGGAATGGTTCTCTCTCGGCGGGCCTCAGTTTGAAACGGGCCATCAACGATGCCTGCACACCATGGCCACAGCATGACCGTGGAACAGCCACCGCCATAAGGCATCGTCGTTGCTTGTCGGTAGACGTGCAGTGCAGTGAATACACATCAAGCTTCTCGCTGTTCGCGGTGCCTGCCTCGACCGATCTCCGTTAGAAAACAAAAAAAAAAAAAAAAAAAAAAAAAAAAAAACTCGGCCCCCCGAAGGAAAATGCTCCGACGTACGCCGATTCGTTTCGAAAGTCACGCGGAGTACGCGTACGTGGAGATTCGCTCGCGGTTCTCGCGGTTGGACCGAGACGACGAGATCGATGGCTCGGCGATCGTTTCGTAGCGGCTCGACCCGGCGAATCGGAGGGAAACGATCGAGAGAGAGAGAGAGAGAGAGAGAGAGATCGTTCTTCTAGAAATTTCAAACTGAACGACGCGACGAACAACGCCTCCTCTCCTTCGATCGTCGTTTGGGAAATCGGTAAACATGCAGTGGCTACCGGTGCTTCCAGCGAGCTTTGACCGATCGTGTGGCAATTCGTTGCATCGGCAGACTACACGCCATTGCGGCAGC